TTATCGTAATCTACACAGTATTTGTCTGTGAAATCGATACGTAAAATTTGCATTTAAAATTACAGCTTGCAGAGTGCACGGTTTGCATATGTAAACAGATAAAAAGTGACACAGCAATACAAGCATGAAAAAAAAATTTATTAGCATTTAACTTTGAAATGAACGTTTGAAGATGATTGCAAAAATTTACTCAAAATAGGATGTTCTTTTACTCGATTCAGCGCAGAATTTTTCTTATTCCTGCAAGATTGATATTTACGATCCGAACTTCAAAGCTGCAATCTTCGCGAGTACACAACTTTGTTGCCGCTAGTAAACTCTTTCTCCGCAACTGCGAGAATCTTTTTCCTTCTCTCTCTCTTTAGAACGCACGAAGGAGCGTCATTACAGTTAACCGGAACGTTTAACAGTTAACACTGTGACGTGTACACTCGTTGGGTTTTCCGCTGCGGGCGCATACGCGCGTGTCCTCCCAATTTTGTTGCAGCCGAACCGAGCCGGGACGATCCGCGAGCGCATCCGCGACACGTACGCGAGTTGATTGACGCGCGAATACGTGTCCGGCGTAATACGACTCGCGAACAAGGTTGCGAACGAGCACGTACGTGCGGTGCGACGATGACGAGAACGACGACGGGCCCCGATGTGTGCCAAGGCGAGAGATACACCGAGGTTCCGTTGGAAAACGCGCGGATTTCACGACTCCGCGCGTGTACACAATGTCCTGCGTATACACGCCACAGCAATTCCAACGTAATACATTCGTGAAATATTCCTCGCGAAATATGGAGCCGATGATGTTTACGGACCCGTATGTTTTGACGGTTGAAATTTTTAATACCTCGCCGATTAAAATTGCGATTAAAATTCTGTGAGCTCGAGCAAAAGCTCGCTTGAATTCGAGCGAACGATGAATTTACTATTCGGACTGTATTTTAAACATTTCAAAAAACTGAATATTAAAAATGCGCGATATTAAGGCTCGATTTGTTTCATTTTCTGTGGCTTATAGTCTAGACCTCACTTAACTTGAAGATAATGTAAAAATTGTGTTCTTCTAGTTATGATAGACGACGAAACTGATGGTTTTGTAGTGATAACTTTAAAAGTTAACTCATTACAAAACTATCACCTTTAGTCATAAAATGCACTTCTAAACAATATTGGTGTGAATTTTAACACTATACGATATCTATATATAATATAATTCTCACTGTTAAGCGTTAATAATAATTGTTTTCCATTTTTACACAAGTAATACAGAGTCTAAAGTTATGACTCAGTGAGCACTTTATATGTACTATAATGACGTCATTATTATACTTATTTATTTTACTGACAAAATTATAACACACACACAAGTTTATAACCTCACTTTTAATGTGATATGAATAAAGATAAAGCCGCAGCACAGACTTTGCATAACGCATAAGGCATAAGAGAATCAACCAATCAGAATCTTTCATTTCAAATTCTGATTGGTTGATTCTGTTACGGGCTTTCTACAATAAGCCGTTACTTAAGCTTTAAGCCGTAAGAAATTGACCAATCATAGTCGAGTATTCTCCTCATTTGGCTGTGACTGGTCACTTTCTTACAGCTTAAGACTTAAAGCTTAGGTATAATGGCTTATTATAAAAAGCCCATTATGCCTTATGTGTTATACAGCGTTATGCAAAAACTTGTGCTGCGGCCTTTAAAAAAACTCACAATAAAGTTCACGGTCTAGAATTTGCGCAGATTATAAATACTTAATTTAGTGAGATTCAGTCTATTTTACTTTTAGAATGAGAAGAAACGTGCATTGAACTAAGTTGTGACGTCATAAATGAGAATTACCTGAGTTTCAGTGTAAATGGAAAGCAACTATTAATAACATAGTGAGAACTAACAATTTAAAAACAATTTGGATTCCTTATGTTTAACAATTCAAAATCAGGGCTAATAGGAATCATCACTATAATTAATACTCTACGTTAATTTTATATTAATACAAAAAACTAAATTTAACCTTTAAGTAGATGAAAACAACACCCCACACATAGTTTCTGAAAAATCTTATTCTGGAAAAGGAAAATAAAAAGTATTGCCCAGAAGTTTTAAAATTCATTATTTATACCTTCCCCCCCTCTCTCTCTCAAAAGTATAAACAATATAAATTTAACTCTATGTACGCTATTAAAAATATAACTATAAAAATAAAATTTGTTTGGGATGTTCTAAACACCCCACCTATTTATATTTAAAGTTTAGCCGATATTTAAAAACTCATGTTTTAGTCATATAATAAAAATCAATTTTATCATATGGTAACACATGGTAATAAGAATTATACATGTTGATGTGGATTTAACACAGCATAGTGCTAAATCCATACCAACATTTTTTAGAGTATAATTAGAAAAATACCATTTTTATATTATCATCAGGTTTAATCACAAATTAATTATAAATGAAAAACTAGGTCTGAAAGGTGAATGTTCTCACAGCAAGCACGACGGTCGGAGTTAGATAAGATCCAGTTTTTCAGGGAAAAATTTGTCGTGCACACCCAATAAGAAAAGCCATCCGACGTTCGTCGTGTCCGGTCGACCGTAAAATACGATAACGTTGGTAGATCTCTTCGAGGGAAAATAATGCACAACTTTTGATGGCTGTGGAACGGGGGAATGAAACGTGCACGAGACGAGATTTATTTATGGCGCTCTGCCGTATCTCTCAAACGATATTTTTCGCTTCGCGTTTATTTTCAGATATACATATGCGCGTAACGCTCGCGCGGAGGTTCGCGACAGAAACCGAAGCTCGTATTTTACAATAACGTTCCCGTCGCGTTCGAGAAGCGGATTTATTTATTCAAGTGTCACGGCGATAGTCTACCCCGACATAGAATAAAACGGAAGCAAATACGTAAAGCACGTCAATGAGATATTGATTCTTTGAAGTTTCTATTTGGACGAAAATAGAAAAAAATATTGTCGCGTCTTCATCATTTATTCATTAATGTCTTTCTGTTCAATTTACGAATAGATAAGATAAGGAATTCTTGAAACTAATGCAATTTCAACTCCAATTTTATTCCAATCCTAGAGACTTTGATAAAAATAGAAAAATACGGTATTTTATTACATTTTGTAGAATATCATCCATCATATTTTTAAAAAATACTACTGCAGGAAATGGCATTCTTTCATTTGAAATTACTCATTTTTATTTGAATAAATTTACCTTGTTAATGATTTTACTAACAGCATGTCATGAGTTTCTAACGTAACATTTTAAGTATTTTTATCCTCCATATAATCTTTTTTTTTTTTTCAAGCAAAACTTTTTCCGATGCACGCAACGGAACGCAGTATTGGCGCACGCACGTGCATCATGCAGACTATCGGTTCGCATTCTATGCATATGAACTTATGTAATTGATTTCGTGTCAGCTCTCATCTCGCCGCGCCGCAAGCAAGTTAGGTGCGTACGAGCGTTACGCGTGGCCGCCGACGAGACGAAGATACCGATCGAAGGAGGGGCTGCTCGTGGCGACTAACGAGCTGCCGGAAATCAACATTACATATCCGGCCGGAATGCGTCGAGCAAGAGATAAAAAGAATTCCCCTGTTTGTATCCCGACTAACATGCTTGTGTACGCAATTTTATGCGGGAAGAGGAAATCCGTAAACTTAATTCAGCTTGTTTCTCTTAAAAGAGAAAGAAACATTAATTAGACGTATCCGTTGTTTTCAAATCGCGATACTAATGATGGATATTTTATGACTGACAAGGAAACACACGGAAGTGTTCTCTGATTTTGATGATTTAATGTTTAATATTATATTTCAGATAATAAAAGATACATATTTTTATTCATAATGCACTTTTACGAGGTGAAACATTCTTTTAAAAAAAATCGGTCGTTTTTTTTCTTTAGAAGTGAATATCATTGATACGGTAAAAGATGAAAAAAATTTTTGTAGTAAAAATTAAAAATGGTTTCAAGAGAATTTTATAATAATAATACAAAATTTGTTTTAAATTATTAATCTCTATAAACATTTTTTAATTAAACAAATTTTTAAAAATTATAAAGGATTCTCGAAATATCATTTACAACTTTTATTTCAAAAAAATTATTCTTTTTATAGTTTCGACGATATTCGCTTCGAAAGAAAATATAACCGATTCTTTTAGTAGAGATATTTCAATTTCTGAAAGTGCATATAGACACAAATAAAAAATATGTGTCTCTTATGTGAGTCCATATTGAGAATCTCATTTGGTTAAATCAATTAATCTCTTGTTTGGATATGGACAAACAAATCCTTGGTTAATCCAATAAAACAATTTAGTTGAAGCAAAAAATTTGATTATTTTAACAATTTACTTGTGTCATTGGAAACAAGTATAGAATATTACACAATAACCAAACTTTTTACTTTAACTAAATTATTTTATTGCAACAATCAAGGATTTGTTTGCCCATATCCAAACAAGAGATTAGTTTAATCAAATGGAATTCTCAGTACAGAATACAACATATTGAAAGCTCATCAAAATTAGAGGACACGCGATCATCGTCATCATTAGAGTCGGGACAAATTATAATTGTCATCGTCATCATTGTTGAGCCAGTGTAAGTCTAATAAAGCAAGCACAGTGACTGCTGACTTTGGTAAACTGGATCCACGACGAATGCGACCAGTAACTTTAGATACGACGTGTTTTCTTATGAGAATATGAAGCGATGAATAATATAATGCTATTAATATGTAATATAAAATCTTCCAGGTTCAATATATATATATAGAAAATGTTATTCTTTGCGATATTTGGAACTGAAAATATTTAGCAATTAATAATTTTCCAACAATAAATCCACAGAAGATAAATAGTTTCTTATAAATTAATTTTTTCAGAAAATAAATAACGAGATATTATTAGTCGATCAATCTCGAATAAATTTTAATCAATTTTTAAATCCATTATTATTATTTGGATATTAAAATTTATGAAATCTTCATTGATATCTAAAAAGATTATCAAAAATTCCGTAAAAATAACACTTTCTGCTAATTCTGAGTTATTTGAACAGCCGACACGTTGCGGCGAAATCAATTGGCAATTTGAAGTGACTTACCTTTGGTTCCGTCTTCATTTTTTTCGCAGGTGGAGGACTAGCGGCAGTGTCCATTGCTTCCTCGGCGGGTGTCGTGAGCGGTGGACCCGGCACCGCAGCGACCTTGGTCTGTTCCGGTTTGGCCGCTGCGCCGGCCGCCGTAGCGCTCGCCGGACTCGGCGGTGGACAGGGTGCCGCCGCGCTGGTCGCGGGTGGCCCGGGGCCTTGTGACACGGAGAAACCTGTCCTCGAACTGGGCGGTGGTCCCTGGGTCTGTTGTGGCGCCGTGGCGGCCGGCGGTGGGCCCTGAGACTGCGTCGCACCACCGGCCGAATTTTGACCCTGCGGTGTCGGTCGCGCGGTACCGTTCATTTCCGGTTTCGTTTGCTGGGGTGTGTGATTGCTCTGCGGTTTTTCGTGTTTGTCCCGTGCTTTGTCACGCCGATGACCGCTCGAGCCGCGTTTCGAGCCAGCGGTAGACGAGGGTGCGGCACCAGTGCTGCCAGCGGATGCCGGCGAGTGACTCGGCTTGGACTTATTCGACGAAGACGACTGACCGCCACCGGCCGCGCCGCATTCCGAATTTTGTGAGTTCTGTGTAACCGCGGCCGACGCGGACGTCGATCCAACGGTCGAGGACGAGGAAGTCGAGGAGGCAGCGGTGCCGTTGTTTGAGTCCTGCGACGAGACGGTACCGTTGATCTCGTTCGACTTAACAATCTCGTGTTTGGCTTCGCTGGTCTTCGTACCGGGCTTCGTTCGCTTGATCTTCATCTTGAGGCCCTTGTCGACGGTGGCCGAGTGTTCAACGGCCATCTTGCCGGGATTACCGGCGTTAGCGTGGACGGCGTTTACGCCGCTCACGTTCACGCCCGACGCTTGCTTATTACCGGTGACTACAGATGCGGTACCGTTTGCGTTACCGGCGCCGTTCGCGCTGCCGGTACCGTTCGCGCTACCACTGCCGCTGCCGGGACTGTTGGAACGCGTTGAATTCACACCACAAGAAGAAGACGATGAGGATGAGGATGATGAGGAGGACGACGACAACGACGATGACGAGGATGACGACGATTGACTTCCGGCGTTCGTGCCAGTCGACGGGACGGACGAGGACGAGGAGTTGGAGTTGAGACCACTCGCTGAGTTTTGTAACTGATGATGATTCGCGTTATTAGGTGCCGATGCTGCCGAGGCAGGCGTAGAAGCCATGCCTGTCCCCGAGCTCAATTTCTCGTCCCTCGTCTTCTCAATGTCCGCATCAAGATCGATTATCAGGTCACCTATGCCAATGTCCCATTCGTTGTCGTCGTACTCAAAGTTATTGGTCGCATTCGTCGCGGCCGGATCCAGTTCACCGGCGTTAGCAGCCACTGTGCTTGCTTTATTAAACTCACGCTGCTGTCCCGACGACGACGACGACGACGACGACGACGATGACAATGATGACTTGTCCCGACCCTGATGGTGATGATGGTGATGATGGTGGTGATGATGGTGATGGTGATGGTGACGATGATCGCGGTGTTCCCTACCGATCAGCGTTCTCTCTTGCCTCTTTGACTGACCACCGCTAGCGTTGTTATTACTTAAGCCGTTGTTGTTGTTACCGCTATTACCGTTGCTGGTGTTGCCGTTGCTGCTGTTACCACCACTGTTACTATTACTATTATTACTACTACTAATACCACCACCACCGATGCACGGAGATGGTCCTTTACGGTTTACGTTAGGGAGGCGACCGCCTAGTGGCGTGGTCGCCATGCCCTTGGAAACGTTTCCCCGGCGCCCGCCAGCCTGGTCACCGACTGCCCGCCGTTTCTCACTTTGGATACCAAGTAATAGTAGTGGTAGCGCGCGTAACTACACGCGTTATCATTACCCCGACCACCGCCCGCGAGACGCGCCTCGTCCATCGAACACATCACTCACTCTCTCGCTTCTACTCTCGCTCGACGTAATTCGCGATATATCCCGGCCGTATCTCTCTTCTCTCTCCTCCCCTCTCTCTCTTTTTCTCTCTTCCTCGCGCCTTCCACTTGGTTATCGTGTGTACACCTTATCCACCTTGATTTCTCTTCACCACACTTGCCCCCTGTCGTTAATTCTTACTCGCGTAGCTGAGACGCGTAACCCGATATACCTCTCACCACTCTTCACAGACGACACACTGATCCCCGACACAACACCACGATCACAGCCACTGAGCCCCCCCCATTAGATCACGAACACACCACCCGACACCACTCGTGATTACTTCCAACGTCGTAGGAAATCTCGGCGACCATCCGCGTTCTCGGAATCCTGAGACCCGAGGATGGTAGCTCCTCCACCTGTCTTCCACTTGTCGTGAGTTAAGCCATGTCCCCCGAAACGATCCTTCCAGTCAGCCTAGCGTGCGGTTCTTCCCTTCGATTTCCCGACGGAACCGCGCCTCGGCTGATCGACGTGTTTCCGATCTGTAACAACGTAAGTGATTCCCTTCAACGTCGACGTTAAATGTGTAACGATTAATTTATCACTTAACGGATTAGCTTAAAATTATCTTGTCGAAGCAATCACTCCGGGATGTCTAATTAATATTCGCCTATTATTCATAGATTTTAGCTTCACTAATTATACTTTCATTACACTATGGTCCTATTTTTATAATTTTGCACTCATTAGTATTAAGGTATTAAAAAATTTTACAAGTCTTTTTGTATATTTATTTTAAAAAATTTATCATTTATTACTTTTAAGTAACGATTATCTTTAACAAAGAATCTCTTCTTGATAATAATCTTAAAATATACTTATTACAAATTTTAGAAAAAAAATTCATTATATACTAAAAAAAATTTTTTTAAAGAAAATTATAAAATTGATCAAAAAAGCAATTTTATATAATGAATAAATCAAATTTAATTTAATAATCATGATTAAAGTATTAAACTTATTAGAATTTAAAATATATTTTGAATAAATTTAATGCTTGTGATGAACTCTTATAATTATAGATTTGCGGATACATAAACTTGAAACAAGTAAATTATTACTTGCGTATAGTATTTTTCTGTACATAATATATTTTTCTGTAAATTCTGTGTATAAGATAGCAATAAATACACGAGAACGAAGCAACTCCATTATAGCAAGGCAAGCACAATCCGTTTGGTTTTCTTTGTAAAACAACGCCGAGACGTGGCGGCGACATTCTTAGCTTGACAGACGTGCCACTCGTCGCTAACATGAGACGCATTCCAGTAGTATAATTATTGTTTTAGAAAAAAGACGAGATGATCGTTATTTCTCTACAATAATAATCTATCTACGATATAAATTATTACACAATCTTGATATGGGCAGTTGCACTGTTGCACAATATCTTAGTTAACCCTTATTATTTACTCTCTTATAAACTGGAACTTATTTTTAAACCTGATATTTAAGAGCGTTCTATCGCAAGGACAGGAAAAAGTATTTTTAATAATTTATTGTATAAATTTTAAACTCTCTTTTTTTTATTTTAATTTCTATTGTTACTTTTTACATGAAAAAAAATTTTATTCGACAAATCCAAAAATGTCAATAGTATATTTGTGAAAATTAAGTTAACTTCATTTAGAACGTTTCAATAATATTGTATATGCATTTACTTTAAAAAATATAGATAATAGATTTAACATCATGGATGCTAAATATAATTCTCATCGTGTTGATGTTTCATCAACACCAATATGGTGAACTGAACACTATGTTGGTGTTAAATTATTTAAACCAATATTACATCCACACCATATTGGAGTTCATATCAATACCAACACATGAGAATTATATAAATACTGACATGGTGTTAAATCCACACCTATACGTTTTAGAGCATTTTTAAGTAATTAATTAACAATCATGAAACAATAATGAAGAAAAAATTTATTATTTTGGGAAAATATGCTATATATTCTTGAAGAAAGTGAGAAAATCTGCAGAGTAAGCGATTCAGAATTGTGTAGTAAAATTAGAAGATTGAGACAAAAACGCCTACGGATCTTACGAGCTACGATAGACAGGAGGGCGCGATCGCCCGTTTGAGACTTCAATTAATTTGGCAGCACTAATTTGGCGACGCGGCTGGTCTACTCGAAAGACTACGCGTATCACTTTGTAGTTACATTGCTTTCATAAACAATGCTCGATAGCCAGATAAGTCTTCAGGAGCACTTGGCCGGCGGCCAATAACCAGTGAAACGCGCGCGCGTTGCTCGCCTGCGTTCTCTTGGGAGAACTCAAGAACGAGTCGAGAGCCAGCGTAAACCGGGTTGTTAGCTTCGATATAACGACATGTTTAGAGACCCGCTCTACCAACCCGCTTCCTCCTTCTCCTCCTCTTCATCTTCCGGCTTTCACCCCGGGCGCGCGACGCGGCGCAACCTCCTCGTCTCACCCTCCGGGACGTTCCCTCTTTCTCTCTCTCCCTCTCTCTGTGTTTCGCACCTACAAATTGGTATTCCCACTTAGAGAGGAATTCGTGTCAGGCAACGATTAATTTTACCAGCGGCATTTTGGCCGCGGTCCAACCGCCCCGCGTCAGTAACGACCGATGCGAGAAAGAGAAACGAGGAGATTTGGACGAGGAGAGGGAGATATATCGACGGATCTCCCAATAGAGAGAGTATAGTAGAATTTATTCCGTGTTCTCTAAAATCGAGTCCTCTCGGAACATTATACGTGACATACGACTGCATGCAACCGTGACAGCGGATGGTCGACGTGGAAAATGGAAAAATAAAGGAACAACAAATGACAAAATATTGCACGAAAAAAGAATAATAATTTAAGATAAAAATTATTTATGACTGATAAAATTTATAAATGTGTAATTTGTTTAAATTCCATCGTGATGATATCGATTCATCGTACGTGCGCAAAAGTAGGATGATTAAACAGCAGTTGCTATATTTACGATGGGAGATAAATGATTCGAGCACGGCATCTTAGAGTGAGGAATAGAATTAACATAAATTACCGAGAATGACTTGTCAGACTTTCTTTAATGTAATTCAATATAATGTTTCGACGCGCGCACGTCAATTTATGTTGGCGATCAATTTTACGCGATCGGCTATCTATATAAGTTCCGAAATTCTTTTAAATTTAATGATGTTATAAATTGCCAGATACAAGATGGTTTTATAATACTATTTAATATCTCTTCAAATAACAAAAAGAAACAAGTGAAACACTTAAGCTAAAAAAATAAGTAGATAAAATCTAGTTGCTCGCGAAATTGTTTCTCCGTTTCACCTCATTTCTTTCATGGTTATAGACCGGATAATCGTTAAATGTATCGATCAACTATTACCCAATCGACCGCTGCATTGTATTAATTCATGCGAACGTCCCGTCGATCGACGCGCAGAAAATCGACCTCGACAAAGACGTACCGCTTTATAGTATCGCACACGATGACAGCTCGGCCGCTATTACTCTTATTTTGATTGTTTCCCCTTTAAGGTTGAATAGACGGATAACGCATCTATCGACCAGCGCGGACGTAAATGCCTCGCGTGATTATAGCTCCGCGTGTAAACGAACTCTAAAGTGAACTCTCGTAGAAATTTCATCGGTGGACTTCTAAAAAATTTGTATAAAAAAGACATGTATACAAAGAAAAATATTATGATAAACCAACCAAAAGGATCAATCAAAATGCTATCCTGGTTGGGTTTTTCTTGTTGGTTTAATCAGAACAATTTTCTCAGTGTAGTTGTATACACTGTAATATGCATATATTAATAAATTTATAATCTAATATCACTTCACAATTACGTTCGTAGCTGTTACTTTATATTACAGAGAAAAATTTTTGATTGTGTGAAAATAAACGAACCAGCAGATTCTGATCATATCAATCAGAATTCTCATCATGATCAGATGATTCTCATTTGATTATCTCGACTAGAATCATAATACAGATGGGTTCACAAGTCGATTTGAAATCGATTGATTTTTAGAACCGTTTGATTTGATATCCATTAGATGTTCTATTAATCTTCTTCGAAGATCAATAGAACATTTAGAAGATATCAAATCAAACGGTTCAAAAAATCAATCGATATTAACTTGATTCCGACTTATAAACCAGGGATTTAACTATAAAATTCTAATTTGTCCATTTTCTATTCAGAATTCCAATTAATGCAGTTAAACTCTTTTTCCAGTATATTTTGTTATTTTATGTTATACAAAATTTATAAGTAACTCGGTAGGCTGAAGATCAGAAGTCTAACATAATATCTACTTCGTTAACATTAAGTTTCTTGAGCGAAACTTATATTATCGTAACTTATATATCATACTTTGTACTTTCAGATTAGCTTTGCGTCACGTCGCGAAAAGGAGACGATATATGTATATTCGAGAGTTAATCGAGAAGAAGCGGAAGTTGCAAAATCGCACGATCGCAGCGTGGCAGGGAATTCGCCCCAGCCTTAAGTTACACCGTTCCCGCATTAAGTTTCATGATTAATCGCGCGACTTCGGAGAGTCTCGCGACGAAAATAATATCCGGTGCAATTTATACCGGGTGGAATAAAGATGAGTCGTTAAGACGAGAACGCCGTGGGTATCGTGCGAGTGGGGCTCTCTCTCCTCTCGTAACAATTCCATGAATGGAGATTGACGGCATTCCAAAACTATTCCGTGCTGTGGGCGCAAGCATTCTGGCGAACCTCGATCGTAATGACGTCAATGAAGTCCACCACCAAGGCCGAACAGGGGAGAATTTACCTTGTTAACAGAGTTGAGTTAACCTGCGAATACTTCGATTCAAGACGGATGTAAAAGAGTCAGAGCTAATGAATTGCATTCTGCAACTCTGCAGGAAAATGAAATAAAAAAACAAATTAGTATTCCATAAAGTAATATACTTTGTTTGAAGATCAGAGGTTTCCCTTCAATAAAAAAAGAAGTAATTAAAAGAAGAAATATAACAAAATAACGTATGAAAAAATTTGCTTTGTTTTATAAAAAGATTTCAAAGAAAATTCGGTTTCGTAAAAATGATCTCTCTAAATTCTTCGGAGTGAGATTCACTCTAAAGAATTTAAAGAATGATGCATGTTTAAAATAGTTTTTTTTCGCAAGCAATATATCAAACGGATTCTATCATTTAATGAATTTTGGTTTACAGTATTATACAATAAACATATATAAAAATATCTCTGTATAAACTTGTTACCTCGAGGTCATATACAATAAAGAATATTTTATTTTTATTGTCCTCATAATTATGCACATCGATAAAAAAAACCATCTTAATTAACATTTAAATCAGTATAGTGATAAACCTGTTTAGTAAGCTCGTTCATTAAAGCTTATCAAGTAAATGCGATAAACTAACTATTTTTGTATTCAATTTTTCAGCAAGCAAAATACCGTTACGCGTTTACTTAAAAGGGGAACATTAATTACGTTAATC